CTCAAAGACAAAAACACGGACATGAGCATTAAACGGGCCCGTGTCTCACTGCTAGGTCAAATCGCATTCAAATGCCAGTGCGACTCTGAATGAGAGCAGAGCGCGTGGATCAGTAAACACCAAAATTAATATCAACACTAACAAGGAAATAAGAGAACTAGGCAGTTAAGCCCAACAGAACCCGAAAATGATTATAATTTATCGGGAGGAAACTTCGCAGTAGTAACTCACCCGTCAGACTAACTAAGCCTTCCGTTATCAAAATGTCTCCTTTGTTGCTTAGCTACTATAGATTTTAAAGTGTAATATGAATGAGACGTTTTGGAAAGAAAAGCCAATAACTGCTAATGAAGTAGACTTTTATGATTTTGCTAAGAATGTGCGGAAATCAGAGCAGCAATGAAGAGCAAAGTCAACAATGAGAGCTTTAAGCACTGAGCAGTGTCATGCGTAAAGTATTATAGAATACTGTACCTTAAGAAGAGTATCGAATAAATGTTGGAAGTTGTGAGACGACAACAATATTTCTGAGAGGCTTCTAGCACGGTCTGCCCTCTCCACTCGATAGCGGTCGCAAGGGTTTGAGAGGACCGCGCCAAAGCCTCGAATTCACAAAACGTTGTAAAAATATGAAGCTTTCGATGTTCCCCGAAGAAACCACTTGACAAAAAATGACAGTTTCAGAGGAAGGGACTCAAAAAGCACAAGGAAGGAGAAAAAATTGAAGGGAAAAGAATTTTTAAGGGTGAACACACCTTGAGACTGCTCACAAATCGGAATAAGTTGTTTTGCCCCATTCGAAGAAGGTCGCCATCACGTAGAATTTCTGTCTGTCCAATACGACGATTATTCACCTAAACAAGCATAAGCATGAGGATGAGACAAAACCTCAAAATTCAACTCCAACTTCACCAGAAATTCATCGAAATTTTCATTTGTACCTTCAATAGTCGCGTCACCAGACAAATAGTGGGCGGAAAGGAAAATAAAGTTCCACTTTTACAGAATAAGATATCCTTTGAAAGGCGTACTGAACATTTGCAGACACGTGTAGATGTCGGTCGTATATCTTGGAGCTTATGCTGTGAGAAAAATCTAGCCGATTCACCTCTACATTTCGTTAGTTTTTACCAACTACGCCGAAAATCGGAAAATGGAGTTGAGAAAAAAAGCAATCAAAGGCAAA